AATTCCATAATGAGTGAAACAGATTATAAAAGAGTTAAGTGTAGGTGAATGATTGATTTAGTAATTAACAAACAAATAGCAAAGTAAAGAAATTAGGATAATGAAAGCAAGAAAATGAGGAAACAACAATAGAGCAATTAGACCGATGGACCTACAATGTTGTTTTACATGGCTGCTAGCAAAATGACTATGTTGTAGCAATATATTTATGAGTTATATAACGATTAACACTTAACCTAATGAATTTAATTCTGATTAAAACCACAGATTAAATGTTAACAAAGCATAACAATTGGCATTATATATCTCTATATGAATTGTTTACTCTCATAAACATCAATGTTGGGACAATAGCATCATGCAATCTCAATAATATTTATCTCTAAAAACTACCCAAATAACATATAATTAAGATGAAAATTATCTCTAATAACATCCAATTAAAACGCAACTCATAAACATATAGTTTAAAGCAGAAACTATGAGTCAAGCAATTCACTGAACACATTATGTTTAGTACCAAATAAAAAAAGAGAATTGATCATCCAACTTAGCAAAGTTTATTTCCCTTTTTATGTCAATAACACAAATGAAATGTTGAACCCCGATCAGCCACTACTACTACACGACTGCTCCACTGTTGCTAGTGAACTCTCTAGCGATAGATTTGAGCTGCCATCGTGGATTGAATATGAAAAGAAATATTGGACGTGAATGAAAATCGATGATAAAAAGTGTGAAGGAAGACCCTATTTATAAGCCCAAAAAGTTAAAGCATCATCCAATAGAAAAAATATGATTTTTCCTATATTTTCCAACCATTTTACAGTTATATTGGATATCTGTCCGAATCCAAAAAATTCCATAACTGTATGTTAAGTCACCAGTTATTGCAGGTTCTGTTCAACAATTTGGCACAGTAACACATCACATCATCTCCTGCAGCTTTAAGCAATGCCACAACATTAGTGTATCGGTTTTTAGCATAAAAAATTTAAATCAAGCCAACTTCCGTCAACTGACTTCATGATGCAAATGATAAAAAATATATAAAAATGATCCTAATAAGATCCTAATAATGCTAAATTTTAAGTTTAATCTAAGTAAAAAGATCATAAATAATAGCTTTTTTTTTTAGAGTCATCATTATCATGTGATGTCTTGAGTCAACAAATATAGTAGCTATAGGAACTGTTGGTACAAAACTCATGACTTCTTGGGTTGCATAATTAGCCTCGCTTGATCTAATGCACCTATATTGGGTAAGTCTTACCCCTGACTTGTCACATCAATTGAGACATCAACAACAGACTGACTTCCATCATTCCTACACTGTTGCACACTGCCTTGGGCTCCCATAGAATTATGACAACTAGAATCTACTTGAGGTGGAGTAAGGCTAGGACTGAGTGGAACCATGCATGTGCCATCTACCATGCAAACCCTATATGTCCCACGTACAACAGACAATTCAACACACTCTTGTTGCCTAGTATCAAAGACCAAACTTTTCGTAACCTTTGCACCTGCTAAAGGAAAACAACTTTCATTAAAGATTACATGCCTGGAAATGTAAACTCAACCATCAGACCCCATACACTGATACCCCTTACGTTGGGAGCTATAGCCAAGGAGAACACAAGGCTGAGACATGTAGCATTGCTTGTGTGTTTCATAAGCTCGAAGGTGAGGAAAACACCTATACCCTAAAACTTTCACGAAGTTTAATCTAATTTCTTGTTATGTAACATCTCAAATGGTGACTTCCCCTGTAATACGCGAGTTGGAAATCGATTGATCAGATGAACATCAATACTTACAACATAGGACCAAAACGAAACAGAAGAGAGGCTTGTGCCATCAACACAAGGCCTAGCTCAATAATGTGTATATGCTTCCTCTCAATAGTGTCATTTTTCTCTGATGTGTGAGGGAAAGGGAACCAATGATTGACTCTCATGGATTCCAGCAACTTAGAAAAGGGCTTATACTCACCACCTCAATTAGTTTGCATCTCCTTGATGCTTGCTTCAAACTGATTTTTCACCATGCTATGAAACATCTCAAATGACCAAAGAGCTTGATCTTTGCTCTTGAGTAAATAAACCTAACAATGTCTGGTACAAGCATCGACAAAAGATATATAATAGAGAAAACCACTGGATGTAATATGCGAGAGTTCCCACAAATCAGAAAACACGAGCTGGAATGGTTTGTCATAGACGATTATTGATTCATTAAAGGGAATTTTGTGGCTCTTGCTCATTCTACAAGCAACACATGTACTAATAGTGATGGTCAAAATATATGAACCTTGCTGGTTTCAACCCGACCCGATCCGATAGGGGTAATTTTTTTAATTTGGGGGCTCGGAGTAGGGTGGGACGGGTTATATGGTATAACATTTTGGGGCAGGTCAGGGCCGAGTTTAAGGTGAAAAGTCATCGACCCGACCTGACTCGACCCAATTAAATTTTTTATTTTTGTAAATATATTATATTTAATATTTTAAGAATTTTATTTTTTTCTATTATTAAAATGTATTACTTTATTATTGAAAATATTAAAATTATTATAAAATATTTTAATTTAATTATTTAAAATATAATAAATAATTATAAATATATTATTATAAATTATATTATTTTAAAATATTAATATATTTGGGTTGGGTCGAATTGGAGTCAGGGTGGATCCGGAGTAGAAAAAAATCTAAAATTCATCGGGACAAGGTCGGGTTTTAAATATATATTTTCATGTCGAGGTCAGGGCGGCCAAAAACCCGACCCGCCCCTCCACATGCCCATCCCTATGTACTAACAACATCTTTATTAGCATTTGAAGAAAATGTAACACCAATCTGTTTACAAGCTTGCACAAGAGAGGTATGGGCAGGATGCCCCAGCCTCATGTGCCAAAGACTATATGTTTTACCATTGAAATTGCTACTACAATTGTCAACACTTATTTCAACTTGATTGCAGCTACTATCAACACTTACATATTCCTTTTCTACAGCAAACTGATATAGTCCCTTGTTTTCTTGCCCTTGCAGTAGTAACACTAAAAAAATACCACATTGTCTCTAGCAAACTTTGAAACGAACAAGAAATTCTTGGTTACTGAAGGCACATGAAGTAAGTCATTAATAACTAAAGCATGAGACTTTGTAGAAAGCATGGTACTATCAATTTTGCAAATGTTTAATCCAAACCCATTTCCTACCATGAGTTCACCTGGCCCAGTGTAATTCGAGCTGTTAGCCACCTTTGACGCATTCGATGTCATGTGATGTGTAGCCACCGAGTCTACCACACAGTGATCCGGGATTGAGGATGCACCATGAGCCTGATAGGAAGTACATGCAAAGCATTCATGATTAGTGCTAAACGAGCTTACATTTGCACTAGGTGAGTAATTTTTAGTAGCTAGAACTCCTACAAAATCTTGGTTAAATCGATGCCAGCAACGGTACACTGAGTGAACCAATTTCCCACACAGTTGGCATTGTATCCTGGGACGCCCACGACCTCGATTACCGTCCTTCCACATAAGAGTGCTGAAAGCGGTGATGCTGTCTAGATCAATTTACACCAGCGTTGTTACCTTGAACCTGCATCACATTTGCTTGAACCGATTGATGACTCTGAGCCTGAAAACATTTCAGTTTTGCCTCAGCGTCTACCAACACAAATTTCACACCATCAACAAAATAAGTCTTTTTGCTGGCGGTTATAACAGCCATGAATGGTTGATATCCGAATGGAAGTCCATTCAAGATCGTAGCAATTTGTTCAAGACCTGAAACCTTGCTTCCAAGCAAGGGCGTCGCAAACTACCTTGATCTGTGTAAAATAGGAACGCATACTATCTTCTCCCTTCTCGATGGATCGTAACTTACAATGCAGACTTATCACGCTCGTCGTTGAACGGTTAGTAAAGAAGTGCAACAATGTCGACCACACCTCAACAGTTGTTTTTGCCCTCATAAACTGAGGAAGAATGTGATCACTTACCGTTGAGAGTCACCACGATACCAAAGCACTATTTTGTGCAACAAAGATCTCATAATCTTCATTGAAAACCAGATGTCCTTCACTATTCACAACTTTCTCCGGCGGAGGTTGCAGCTCGCCAGTGAGAAGCTGCTCCAAAAGGTGACTTCGAATAGTTAGAAGAACCTGTTGTTTCCAAAGAAGAAAGTTCATCTCATATAGCACAATGTTAATCTTCTTATTTGTGAATGCTCTACCACTTCTTGCCGAATCAACAAGCTCCAAACCTTGTGCAACAGTTTCACCCATCGTAAGAAAACAATGCAGTCTCAACACAAAACGAAGAAGGAAAAAAAGAAAGAAAGAGGAAAGCACTTCAAAAGTAACCAAGAAACAAACTGAAGAAGAAAGAATCACAACGAATGATCAACACTTTAGAGACGCAACGAAGAAAAAAATGGCTCCAGGAATCACGGCAAAAAATACCATGCTGAGAATATGAAGAAGAATATAGAGTGTATTTGATATTCAATTAGCATTTTGTTACAGAGAGTACACCATCATTATATACAAGTCTAACAGACTGGCAGCCAACTCTATAGTCAACATCATATATCATTCTTCGTCTAAATTTAAAAAGATTAATTATTATTACGGTTATATTATCCGTCAAACAATACACAATACATTTAATATAGAATCAAATTAAACAATAAAAAAGCTACTTGAATGAAACGTAGGTATCGTTTTCGACCTCCTACTCGGACCCCTCTTCACAAATGCCCAAACGTAAACGTAAACGTAAACAGATGATATAAAACAAAAAATATTTGCATTTTTAAACGTAAATAATCTCCTAACCAATAACCGTTTTGAATAGAAACTTTATACTTTTGTCTCAACTCCACCTTGCTTTTTCATCCTACATACATATATAAACCCAACAAATATCTTCAACATCATTCCCAATTCCCATCATCTCTCTGTTTTGGGTTGCATTTGGTGATGGGGACTCACCGTCATTTCGAACCGATTTCGAAATGTAGAATCGAGGGAAGATCAAATCAGAAGGTGGCCGCGGACTTAAACGGAACCCTTCTCGTGTCACCAAACCCTTTACCATATTTCTTGCTTATTGCTCTCCAAGCTGGCAGCCTTACAAGAGCACATGTTCTCCTAGCATCCCTTCCGTTTGTTTATTTGGCCAACTTATTCATCTCTGAATCTACAGCCAATAAAGCCTTCGTTTTTATCTGCTTCGCCGGGTTAAAAATCGGAAACATCGAGCATGTTTCCAGGACGGTGTTGCAGAAGTTTTATGCCGGGGATGTTCATCCCGAGACCTGGAGAGTTTTTAGCTCATTTGGCAAAAGATACGTTGTTACTGCAAATCCTAGAATCATTGTGGAACCATTTGCTAAAGCAGTTTTGGGAGCCGATAAGGTTATTGGAACAGAGTTGCATGTGACAAAATCAGGCAGGGCAACTGGGTTTACCATGAACCCGGGAATTCTGGCGGGAGAACACAAAAGGGAGGCCATCATGAAGGAATTTGGTACAAATTTGCCAGATTTGGGACTGGGAGACAGAGAAACTGACCGTGATTTCATGTCATTATGCAAGGTTAATGAAACCCTCATCCTTTATCTTTTATGCGAGTCCTTTATCTTTTACGTGAGTCCATGGATGGATCAAGAGGAGTGAACGGATAGTGTCTCTTGAAAAATTAAAATTAATATATATTTTAAATATTTTATTTATATTTTTTTATTTATAATCAGTTTTGATTTACTTAAATTTTATGAGATCGTTACCTCTTAAAATTACTAAAATTATATGAGATCGTTCTCTTAAAATGTTTAAAGTATATTCTTTAATATAAAACACTATATCTATATGTTGTTTATATATATATATATATATATATATATATATTAGACATTGATTTTGGTTTGATTGTGTAGGAAGGATACGTGGTGCCAAGAATGAAATGCAAAGGTGGAAAATCAGCCATCGAAGTTGTGAACTACGTACGGACGGTGCTGTATGGGACATTGGGATTCATTAGGAAGGGCAAGCATGTTATGCATGCCATAACTGATGGTGGTGTTTCTCCTAAACAAAAATTGGACTACTTCAATCAGCAAATTAATGATCGGTTCATAATTTACTCTAGACGAAATCATGAGTGACTCGAAAATATCATCACTACAATCCCATATGCTATACAGTTTGTTGTCACTTGTCAGCTTATATAGATAAAATTTAATTACTGTTATTTATTTGTCGTCTTATTGACTTTTGGGTAAAATACATAAATAGTCCTCCAACTATATGATCTTGTTTTATTAAGTCCCTCAACTATTAAAAGGTACAAAATGGTCATCTGACTATATTGAGTTGCTTTGTTAAGTCCCTTGACTATTAAAAGTTACAAAATGATTACTCGATTATTTATTATGTACCAAACTCGTCATTTTCTGTTAAAAATTTAATGACAATTTGAACTATACGTTAACTTACTGACTGATATATGATAAAATATGATCTCATAATCTTAATCGACTATCATATCTCAGTCAACATGTTAACGTCCAACTCAGATGACCGTTATTTTTTTTTAACAAAAAACGACGAGTTTGGAACACAATGAATAGTTGAGTGACTATTTTATAATTTTTTAAATAGTTGAGGGATTCAACAAAGTAACTCCCTATAATCAAGAGACTATTTTGTAACTTTTAATAATTAAAGGAATTAATAAAGCAGTATCCAACTATACTTCACCCTTAACTTTTTCATTAAATATATATTTTTTAAGAAAAGCGAGCCTCATTGAAAACTCCTTCTAAGCCTATAAGGGAAAAAGAGTGTTCTAGAAACTTGTATTACCATAAACATAATCGTTGGATACAATAGATGATATAAGCTTAGGACAAACTAAGTCAAAATACAAAACATTGTCAGCCCTAAGAGCTCACGTAGCTAGAGTATGAGCTACATAATTACAAGATCTAGGAACATGGAAAACCTTGAAATGGATCCTAGCTTCTAGTGTCTTACGAGCTTCAAAAAGGTGATAACCCAACGTGGATAGATCCTCTTTTTGTTGGGACGTCTTGTTAACAACGAGCGTCGAGTCTTATCCGAATATGAAATGGGTTCAACTATACTCACTCGCTAACGAAAGAGCATTGTCCGTCCTCTTGAACCCAACTAAGGATTATTGTAGTCACCAACATCGCTTGGCATTGACCGAGATCTTCATATTATCAAGAAAGAGCGTCTACAATAGTGTTTGTCTTCCCTTTACGATATTGGATAACATAGTCTAGGCCCAACAGTTTTCTTAACCCACGTTTTGGAATTGTTGTATTGAGTTTTTGCTCCAAAAGATATTTAAAGGGCTCATGATCCGTTTTGACAACAAATTGGCCACCCTCTAAATAATGTCGCCACTTTGACATCGCCATTAAAATGGCTAGATATTATTTTTCATAGATGGACATATCGACATGTCTAGGAGTTAAAGTTTTACTTTGATACGCAATGGACCTTCTTTCTGTTGCGGAATATAGTTATCGGATAGAGCAAAATCGTAATTGATAATTTGAGAAAATAAAAACGAAGATAAAGAAGACACAAATTTTACGTGGAAAACCCCTAAATAATATAGGGTAAAAACCACGGACAAAGGTAGAAGAATTTCACTATGAGAAAATAGGAATTACAACTTCTCTCGATCTACCAAGGAGAAAACAATGATAATTCTCTCTTGATAAAAAAGAGAAAACAACTCTTAAGAAACTCTCTAAATTCTCTAGTATTGAGAGAAAACTAGAATAATTTGGGATGGTTTTGAAGCTAAATGGGTTAAGATATTTATAGTTAAAGTTTAAGGACTAATCTTATAAATACCCTAAAGTACAATGACTAAATTGTGATTTTACCATTGTCCAAATTCAACTAAAAACCAAATACTTTTCGGTACCCATTTTTTAATTCATTCGGTGCATTGCACTTTCGTTGCAAAGTCCAACATTCAACTCTTTATTGATACAAAATAGCCCCACCCCTTTTGAGCACGTTGCTTTTTTTAAGTCTTCAAATGATGCTTTGACCGCATGAGACCAAATTAAATTGTTCTTCTTCAACATTTGAGTCAACGGATGGCTAATTTTGCCTTATTTTCGAATGAACCTCCTATAGTAGTCTGTCAAACCCAAAATACCCTTAGTGATTTTAAAGTCTTCAATATTGGCCATTTGCTCATTGTTTCGATTTTTGTTGGATCTATTGACACACCAGCATCAGAAATAGCACGAACAAAATACTCCACCTTGGACTATCAGAAGAAATTTTTTTCTTGTAATGTTTGTAAAATCAACAATAAGTTTTGCACATGTTCATATAGTGTGGGGCTATACACTAAAATTTCATCAAAAAAACTAGAACAAACTTTCGTAGGTAAGCATTAAATAGATAATTCATTAGGGATTAAAAAGTAGCTGGGCGGTTTTAAGGCTGAAAGGCATTACCTTGAATTCGAAGTAGCCACGGTACGTCCGGAATGTTGCTTTGTAGATATCTTATGGCTGGATTTGGATCTAGTAGTATCCGGAGCGTAAGTCTATTTTAGAGAAGAAATTTGTATCCTTATCCTGAAGTTCATCCAAAAGATCATCCACGACATGAATAAAGAACTTATTTTTAATTATATGACTATTTAATTGTTCATAGTCAACACAAAAACACCACAAATCGTTTTTCTTCTTTACCAGAAGGTAAGGTGGAGCAAATGGGCTCTTGCTTGCTTGAATTATGGAAAAAGACACCATTTGAGCATTTTTCTTTTCAACCTTTGTTCTTTAATGGTGAGGGAACCTATAGGGGCGTAAATTGACAGATGAAGCTCATGTTTTAGTGTAATATGATGATCGTGAATTTGTGGTGGTGGTAGGGCAGTAGGTTCTTGAAAAATGCTCTCGTATTCTTATAGATTCTTATAGGAGAGATTGCAATTCAGTTGGAAGCTGAATGTTTGTACCTTCGATAGTTAAGACATATATTTCATGACCAGATTTGGATCCTTTGTTGCTAGTTTATAGAGCTTTTCTCTAGAAACTGATTTTAAATATTCCAATGGAGCATGATGGTCGTGAGTCACCATGTGTTGGCCTTCCTTATTAAAGCTCAAATTCATCTCATCAAAGTCTAATAGAATAAGGTTGTATTTCTTCATCTAGTCGACCTCAAGCGCCATGTCGCTATCCCCAATTGTAATATTCTAAATCATGATTAAAAGAATGCCCTTGCATTGTCCTAGTAACTTGATTGGATCGAGTGTTACTGAACAATTTTGCACCATTAGCAACTGTGATTACCAAGGGTTGGGTAGAAACTAAGTCAATCCCTTCCTTGGCTCATCTTGGAGTTAAGAAACTTTGTGTACTCCTTGTGTCTATTAATATGCTTAGGAATCTGCCCTTGACTAATTCCTTAATACACAACATGGTATAGCCTGTACTCCCAGTAAGAACATTCATAGAAATTTCGAAGAGTTCATCACTAGGCTCTAGTTGCTCATCAACCCCTTCTTGTGGAGTAGTCTTGTTGTCAGCTTCCTCTCCTTCCTCCATCATGCTTAACTAGCGTTGTTTACATTGATGGCACAGGTTATTGAGTCTTCGATACTCTTGAAGTGGATTTTTTGTTTGAGTGAGAAGGTTAGGTCTTAGTGCATTTTGGGTAGGGTTGGGTTGGGAAATGTTGGTTGGGTATGGGTAGAGTGGGAATTTACTCAATGGTTTTTGCCTCTGATTCTCAAATTCAATTGAGACTTCATACAGTTTTGCTACCTACATGCTTCAGTAACGTTGTTGGGTGCAAGAACTTTAACTTTGTGTTTCAACTCATCCTTTAAGCGGCTGATAAATATGGACACAAAGAAATCCTTGCCTAATCCTATATAGGGCTTTAGCTCTTCGAACTGTTCTTGATACTCTTCTATCGAACCTTTTTACAACTGTCAAATGCATCGAACCACGCTTATATACCCATCGAACCACGCTTCTTCTTTGCTTGTCAAATGTATCACTGTCATTTCTACTCTTTGTTCTTCTAGAACACCAAAGAGTTGAATTTCTTTAACATATTTGTAATCAGCCTCGTGGATTTGTGCCATCAAAAGTCTGTAGTTCTAATTTGGGTCTGGGTAGCATGGATCCGTTGCTCCCAAAAGACCATCATTGCCCCTTCTTTTCTTCAAAAAGCTCCTCCTAACTCGCCTTAACTCCACTACTAGCACCCTTTTATTGGTTCGCTTGAAACTCAAATGGTTTGATTTTAATGATACGCATCTCCTCCAGGTTGTAAGAAAACCTGGACTTATCCTTAATCACTGTGACCTCTATTGGTTTCTTCCCATCTGTCTTGGTGGGAGTTTCACTGTCAGATTGTTCTTGCTCATCTTTTCCACAAGTTAAAATCCCCAAATTTGTTCTGCATACCCCTGGTTGGTTGCCATCCGCTTTTCCAAACTAGATAGGTGGTCGTCTTGCTTTTCCCACCATTTTGGAGGCTCAGACTCATCGGGTGCTTGTTCTACCTTCTTTCTTAAATCTTCAAGTTGTTGTTGAATGACATCATGTTCTGTAGAGTCTGTCATAGTTTGGTTCTATTTTTGTTTACCCGGATTAAAGAAATTGTTAGGATGTGTGGCTATGCCAAAATTGTTATGAACTATAAAAATAAAGAATTTTTCGAGTGAAATAGGAAATGAGGAAGATAGATTTTAGGGGCCGTTTAGTTCAAGAAATATGAGGAATAGAAACCACATTCTCATGTTTGGTTGGTCGGAAATCTTATTTCTGGTAATATTTTATTATTAATAGTAGATTTTTTTTAGATATATTACCGAAAATATCATTAACTCCCTTTCATTAGATATTATTGAATTATCGGCGTTTTGAATTAAAATGCTATTAATTTTTTTTTCTTTCAAAAATATATTTCTTCTAGAATAATAAAAATTCTACGAAAGTTAAATTATAAATTTATCCTTAAACTATTTTAGATTTATAAAAAAAAATCTATAATTAAAATTTTATATGAAGTTCAGGGGTTAAAATAAAATTGTACACTTTTATTAAACTTTTTATATTTTCAATTTTATAAAATAAATATATGAATT